AATTAAAATAGGGAAGCACAATATCCTCCTTGCCTCCAACTATGTTCTAAGTCTTGGTTGCTTGGCATGTTCAAAATAAATGTTTTAGCAAGTTTCAGTGCTTGACTAAGCAAGGTTGGGCTAATTAATACTTGGATGGGAGATACCAGGGTTTTTAGGACAGACTGAGAAGTTGAAAAGAATCCTAGAACAATGCACTGAAAAATTATTTCCATATTATTGTCAAGAACCCTGCACGTTAGTGTTTATGCAATGGGGCATATAGTTTTTAGTCGCTTGGTATGGCTGCTGTTGTGCAAAAGGAGAGAGAAAAAGGAGAGAAGAAGGTCAATTCTAGCCTTGATGCATGAGTGTACTCTCATGTAGGCTGATGAGCTGACCTGGCTGCTATCCAGGCCTGTGGTGGGGAGAGGTAGGCTGGAGATGGCTGACTACAGACAGATGGTTGGAGTCTTTGGTGAAGCCCTAGTATCTGGGGAAGGACTTGGGAGAAGACCCCCAAGAGAGGTTCTTCCTTCAGCGAAGGAGACGCAGATGGTGATCGGCTGAGCAGATCCAAGGAAAGGAGATGAGCAGTGCTGAGCACCTTCACTCATAAATCCAGCACATTCCTTCTTTTTATTCTCTCTTCATAATCTCAGAAATGGGGGAGGGAGATGGTGTGAAAGGAGAGGAGGTTAAGCATTTAAGGGGAGAGTTACAGAGGAATAGTCTCTGAGAGAGGGACACAGGGAAAACTGACACTGGGTAGAAGCCAGGATCTTTATGTTGTATTGTAATTTCTTTGTTGATTGTTGTGAGCCATCCAGTCACTGATAGATGGGTGGCACACAAGTTTAATAAGTTGTTGTTGTTATCTTGTTGTAAATACCTGTTATAAATAGTTTTGCTGTATATAGTAAAGAAGAAGTATAAAAACCTTCACTGTCTCGGTTTCTCTGTGCCAACTGCCACCCTTGTAAACCTAAATACACCTCCAGTTCTAAAAGAATCCAGTCACATTGTGACATATAAATGGTGCCTGAACAGGGACTGGTTGTGTATTAAGATGGCAGTTGTTGTGCACACAGACAATGGATGAATGAGAGGGAAGAGGTGCTTGCCAAGCTACTGAATCCAAAGAGAGCAATTACTAGAAGTTTGCTAACGTGTTTGGTGGTCTCAGGGGTGGGGTGGGGAGATGGAAGATCAATTGCAAAGCATGTAAGAAATGGTAGATGCCAGGCATGCCATGGTGGCAGCTCAAAGGGAGAAGAGGCAACAGTGGAAGATCATCATGAGTGATTATCAGGAGTTTGAGCAGGAGCAAAGAAAATGGGAAAGAAAAATTGAAAGCCAGAAAGAGAACATTCAAGCAGCTTGTGCAGAACCTGAAAAAGGAGGGAGGTAAAACAGATGGGAGAGAATTGGAACAGGAGGAAGAATCTGAGGAGGAAGATGTGGGGGCTGAGGTAATATCTGTGCCTGTGAAATTACGTAGCACTATCTAGCTATGTTTGAGCAGAGAGCTAGAACATGAGGCTGGCCAAAAAGAAGCTGGATGGCTAGATTAGTTCTACATTTGGCTGGGAGAGCCTTTCGTTTGTTCATGCAATTGCCAGGAGCTCAAGCAGGAGATTACGATGCTATGAAGGAGGCAATTTTCCAAACACCTCCTCAGACTTATTGGCAAAAGTTCGGGGACCATGTGTTCGATGCGAAACAAGGTTTCTATGAAACATGGGCTATCCTGGAGGAGGCAGCTAATAATCTGTTACAACTGGATGTCCCATGCAGAACTGTGTATGAGATATTACAGCTGACAGTGTTAGAGCAGTTTACAGAGATCTTACCTAGGCCTATTCGTTTCTGGGTGCAGGGGCACCAGCCAGAAACTAGAGAGGAGCAATAAGACTAGCTGAGGGCTATGCAGCAGCCCAAAAAGTAGAAAAGACTGCTAGATGATGACCAGAAGAAAGGAAGGTTGGGGAAAAAGCAAACCCCTTCCTCCCCAAAAGAGGAGCTAGTGTTTTCTTCTAAAAGAGGGGTGGGATGCCCCTAAAGGAGGCGAAGGGATTTTAAGCAAGGCAATTCCCATTAAATGTTTCAAATGTGGGAAGTCTCATCATGGAAGCAACATGTGCCCAAAGTAAGAGATGCAAACAGCTAGTTATGCAAAGCCTCAGGAAACTGCACAGTCCCTGCCCATGATCCCAGTCAGGATCAAGAACATCACTATGCAGGATCTAATTGACACAAGGACATGTCCCTAATCACAGAGTTTTGGTTGTGAAGGTTGTCCCCAAAAGGAAGAAAATAATTGAAAGCATCTCTGGAGACATAAGGAAAATCCCCATTGTGGAGTAGGAGCTGTGAGTGGACGCCCTGAAAATTACTGCCACACTAGGGGTTGTCAAAGTGCTGGCTGGCACGCTAGCAGCCTCTTTGAGCACTGAGCCCCCCCCTCCCCAATTCAGGCACCAAGTTAGTGACAACTAGACAGCAAAAGAAAACGGCTGAGAATCAGCCACAGCCAGAGGGAGATGAATTTCCCTGTGCTGAGCACTGCCAGGCAGACATAGGAGCTTTGCAAAGAGCAGCTCGGTCTTTACAAGGCTGCTGGAAGGGAGTGTTCCCTAGTGGCATGGTCTGCAAAGATAAACCAATCTTTGTGGAAAAAGGGGAAATGCTAGAGAGGCTCAGAAGGGGCCAGCAGCAGGAAGAGGAGGAAGAGCTGCAAGGGTTTGGGACATAATCGGGGGTAGCATGGAGCCCAAGCAAAGAATGTTACCAGCATTAGACAAGGGCACCTTATTTCTAGAGACAGATCTAGGAAGGCTGCTCTAAGCATGATGAACTAAATATGTTTACAGAATTGCCATGACCAAAAGCCAAACATAGAGAATCAAAATAGCCCTTACATTTGCACCTTCCAAGCAATTCCCCAGGAATACTAGATATTTGTAGCACTATGGTTAAATATATGTAAATATCAGTATATATGTATTTTAACCAAAACAGAATTATACAAATAGTATATTGCCTTATTTTTCTGTTTGCAATATTGACACCAATGAAGGGTTTTTTTTTAAGCCTCCCACCTTGTTCTTGTTTTTTGTCATCAATAAGAAAGAGGTTCGTCTTCCTTGTAAGCAGTAGTCCCCATGTGGGTAGAGTTACACTTGAGTTAAAAAAAAAAATACAAACACTCCCAAGCAAACCAATATCAAGCCTTGGAATGGCAGCAGTGATATGATATTTTACATTCCAATAGTTTGTCCCTAATTCTTTCAAATAACTAGGAGAGATATACACATTTGGGAAATTTACCGAAGTAAGAACTTGAGTTATGACTTACCAATTTGTGCTCTCATATAAGTTTAGTGGGAGGTTAAAGAACATGAATGAATATCATATTAAATATATCACTATATTATTATCTCAAGATTAAATATTTAATTTCTGGTTGGGACTGAAAATATATCTCTAAATCTACTTTTGGAGGTTATGCAATATTGTATTCATGTTTTATATCATAATGATAACCAAAATGTTAAAATTTTTAAAGTGGACGACTTATATGATAGCAGTTGAAAAATAAAAAGGATACACTGAATGGAGGATGTCTTCTGTGTAAAAAATGGGGGGGGGGGAAGACTCCGGTTAAGATTCTGGAACTGTTGCAATGCTTAATATTTACGTATCAAGCCTGCTCAGAAAGGACTTGCAAAGAAGATCCACTCTGGCACTTCTCAATCCATTGTCTCACAACTACCCTGAGGGTCATGGCCCACACTTTGAGAAACATGGCCTTACAGTAATGTATTCTATGAAGAAACTATCATGCTTTTCATTTCTTGTCAGCAATTAGTCCTGTTAGAATTCCATTAGGGAAAACAAAAAGGAAAAAAAAAGTCAGAGTCCCTCTTAATGGCCTGTTAAATTTCATACCACAGAATCATCTTCTCCAATATTATCTTTTGCTTTGGGGTTGGCAACTACATGACTGTGTGGTACCATTCAGTGGATAATTTTGATCCACAGCCTCCCAAATATAATAGTGCTAAATTTTTCCTCTTTGTATCATCATATATCAGTATTAATTAACATAATTAGAGAATATTGTTTGGAGAAAGTGTTCTGAAATATAACATAGGATGCATTTAATTCAGAAATGCATTTTTTTTTTTAATCTGAAGGTTTCTTTCCTCTTCCTGACCTTGAAAATTTATGCCTCCTTGTTTCCCCTTGTATTTGGCCATTTTCTTTAATATCTCTTGAAATATCTAGTAGATTACATATTAAAATTGGTTTTAAAAGAACATCTGAACTTAGATCCCAGTTGAAACTCTGATTAAAATGAACTAAACACTTGTGTAATTTATTTTACCTGAACTATGGTTCCATATATCATTCAAACCCTATCCCATTTCCAGACATAGAGCTGGGTTACAGAAATGGTCACAAAGTGGAATTGCTTCTACAGCATGACTTCACTCTGGACAGAAAGGGCTAAGGAAGGAGACATCTGACCCAGTTGTAATCAGGCCTCTATACTCCTGCATTTTTGTTTGCAAAACAATAAACAAAGGCAAAAATGACAATTGGCCAGCCATATTGGGGAAACTTGCTGGGGAGGAAGGGGAATTGCAGATGACTTTCTTCAGTTGTTTCACATGTCATTAAAGGTTACCATGGATAAATCACTTACATAACATTAAATTATGCTTTGTTTACATCTGTACCCTTCAACAATCAACTTGATTATACAACTAGTCTTAAATTTGTGGGATCCAATGTGTTAGTTCTTGTGCAAGCCATTTTGCTACTCCAAATTTTTCCTGCTAGAACTAACATTCAATTTGAAGCAATAAATGCTCCTGACATCAGTTCTTGCATTCCACAATCTCTCCTTCATCACGGTGCTGTCTGAAGCAGGTTGTATCATCCTGCTTCATAGAAGCTGTGGCAATATATCTAATATTTTTGCCCCAAAGGATAAATAAAATATACACAAGTAATAGAGGAACAATTGTATTTTATTTCAATTCTGCAAAATTTGGTCATAATTGATCAATTATTGCCTAATGCAGCTGAGAGAATAGTTAAGAGTATTTTGTGGTTGTTGAATAAGTTTTTTCCCCCCGTCACTCTAGAGATGTTATTAAATATGACAAACAGCTGAAACCAATGCAGATTCCTCTTTACATAAGCAAATCAGAGAGGGTTAAACTAGTGGTCTATGTGGCATGTTTCCAGGCATATTTTATTCAATTAAAATGTTGGTACCAATGAGATGCTGATAGGTTTGTAAACTGAACCGTCAGTACATGAAGAATTCCACAGGGCCTTTAAAAAGAAGAAGAGAATGTCAAATGAAGTCTCAAACATTAAGGTCCATGTATCACTGGCAACAGAGACATAAAACAACATTTGTGTTACCAATCCTTTGTGTTTAAGAAGTTTGCATTAAAAATATTTTAACTGTTAGAAAAGGGTAACAATAAATATTTAAATAATAATTAAAATATGTAGGATGGTGCTACAATAATAATAATTAAAATGGAGTCTAAAACACTACACATATGTCAAAAGAAAAAAAGGCCTCCTTTCTAATGTACCCTTGTCAGTCATCCCTTTCTTGTAGGAAGTGAAATGGAATATAATCATTGCTAACTACTGAAAATAGTCTGTTGATAAGAAACCAAAATGAGGTCAGAGTAAAAGGTGAACAAAGGCTCAAGAAAATCAATTTTGCAAATCCATTCTATAAAGGAAAGAATTTGTTCAAAGCTTTATGAAAACAACAGAACACTGCATTTCATTTTAGTATATGAAGCTTTAAAGCACGTGTTAGAGAACATCTTCAAGACACCATGATTTTAAACATCCATTGTTTCCAACCAGAGAATAAAACTCTGTGGACCAACATAACCTATATTAGCTGCTTAACAGGCAACCTTTCCCAAATGAACCAAAACTAGTTCTCAGCTACAGCATCTCTTAAAGTACATCTGGCACACATTTTTTTAAAGAAACTGTACCAAATTTGAATAAAAGAAAAGACATAGTAATAATAATATCCATTAGGGGCTTTAAAACTTCTGTATTGATTTGGTTAATCAGAGAAATTAACATGCAGATGAAAAATATTTTATTTAAATTAATGAATGATTTAGGAAAGCATGTGGAAAGCAACACCTGAATACATAGGATAGGTGAAATAGATAGTTAGATACAAAACACTTATCTTAAACTTATGGAAAAAGCAAGTATTTTCTCAGTGATGGTACCCCTATAAGTTCCCTTTCCAGAAAGACCCATTAATAGTCTTAATCAAGATTCTTCCTGATGTAATTTTGTTTTGCTTCTGATTTAATTTATTTCAGTTGGATTTCAGCTTGATTAAGATTTATTAATATTGTTATTAATTCACTGTAAAATTGATGGTGCTCCCTGCTGTTGCAATTCGTTGCTCTTTCTGATGCATTACTATACTGTTTTTAATAGATTTTTAGTTGTTAATGTTATTATTTTTATAGAATCTCATTGGTGGCTACTGATAGGTAGGACATAAGTAGAAAAATAAGCCAACCACAGAGCAGTCCAATTCAGGATGAAGCCTCATAAATGAATGCAGAGATAAAAATTTGGATATGCAATAGTTCAGGTGGTACATTTTTCCCATGTAACTATGTTATCACTGTTAATTGTGGACAGCCCCAAGATAGAATCTCCTCCAATTCCCATGTTTCTTAATGGCAAGACAATCCTTTAAATTTAATGTAAATTTCACCAAAAAAGAAACCCACAAAAACAAAACAAAACAGTAACCCACACAAAGCTATTCCATGCAGTTCACTCCAAACTTGAGAAATAGAAATTCCATACAAGTAAACAAGACAGCAATCCACATCAAAGGACAGAGCTCACATCAAAGGTCAGAGATTTACTTTAGAAGACACCATAAAACAAAAGATAACAGAATGCTCTTTAAGGAAAAGATAATTTTGTTTTAGGTTTTCTCTCCAAACCTTGATTACCAATACTCTTTGAAGGCAGGTTGTAAAGGGAAAGAAAGCAGAAACCAACACACCTAGCTGTTCCATCAACATGAGCATTTTCTTACTAGTCACAGTTCATAATCTCACCAGGGGAAAACAACTAAATTTCAGTTAAATTACCTAGCAATATTCCCTATTGAGACCCAATGATTAAAATATGAATCTAAAACTCTTGACTAACATCTGGAGGCTTTCCTTTATAATACAATATTGAGAAATAAAATAAAATGATTGAGCTTTTGATCATTATATGTATAATAAATTCATCCAGTTATTGATAAGCAAGTAAATGTACATGTATATGGAAAGATTTCAAATTCTGATGATAAATTTTCTCATATTCATCCCAGAGCAAATTTAGAGAATGGAAGAAGACTGTTGATAAGACATGTAATTATTGAAGCATCGCATGACAGTAGACAGAGATTTTATTTTATTTTTTTCAGTTGCAGAAGGCATTTGAGAATCATTTAAGAGCAAAAGATGAATGAGGTGGTCCACTTTTACATCAATACACAAGCACAGGAGTGGCAAGAAAAAAGAGGCTCGTAGAGATTTAAATATTAATTCAGGAGATAAAAGAGAAAAAAATCCCTGTAAAGTACAGTTACTTACATCATGGCCTACAACTTCAGTCTGTGTGGATTTATCTACTTGAGAGACAAGAGCACTCTGTAAATGCTGAGCTTTTTCCTGTGGGAAAAAATAAGACATATTCCTGGTCAGTCATGCTAAATTGATTTTCTTAACATTTTCAAAATAACGTACCCTCCTCCCCCACCCCAAAGGGAAAATATCCCACAGTAGCAACTGGGGAAAGAAGTGAGGATTTTTACAGTATTTTTAAGGGAGAATACATTCTCCTGATGTTACCTTGCTAATGCATGTTTTAGGCAGAGGCTGAGGTCATAAATCAGGCATAACTGTAATTCTAAGCATTAAGGGGAAAGTCACCATGGTGTGATACACAAAGGACCATTTCCTAAGAAAATAATGTAAGACTTAAAAATACTTTGTAAGAATCTGATATTCTTTGGAGATGCTAATAGAGTTTTATACACACCAAATCATCTGTCTTAAAAAGTGAAGATGTATGGACCCTTGGTTTGCATTTGTTTAGCCAAGGGAATACAGAAAACAAAACTGAACTAAAACTATGGAGGACAATTGACTGTGAATGAAAGATCAGGAGAAAAGATCCAAAAAGATTTATTATAATGCTTATCTTCCACTTGCCATACATACTTCCTCTATTCCAGTTTTAAATGCTCTAATTAATTTTTTATCTTACACTTGATTATAAAATTCATTAAGCACCTAAGTTTTACTGACACATTATTGAGGGATATATGAATTATTTTGTTTTTAGTTATTTGCATATGCCCATTTATAAATCTCTTGCATTCTGTCTCTGTTAATTTACTGATTTATATTTTACTCCATAAAATTTGCATTCTAGTACAAATTTAATTATACATTTGAATGATCATCCCAATAATATTTCTAAAGGCATTTACTTTCAAAACACAGATATGCAATTTTTATTTTTATTTTCCTGAGAAAAGTATATGAATATTTGTGAACATCAAAAACTGGTTAACCACTGATCCATGTATCAGTTTCTCCTTGCTAAGACTGAATCCCTCAAGCATCCTTAATGTTATATGTTCATTTGGAACTACTTATAGGAAATGTAATTTGACCAACATTATTTATCCCTGGTTAATTATTTGGCATTAATTTGCAATTACCACAGACTTCCATTAAACACACACATGGCATGGATCCAGCAGCTGTATTCACAAATGCTTGAGAAGAGGTATTTATTCTTTTCGTCAAAGTCTCACTAAGATAGCTTTATCCACTAAGATGACTCATGGGACAATGAGACAGTGACTCACATTCCATTCTCATTCTGGCCAGGAAAGCTGCAGCATACACACACACATATGACCATTTCTAATGAATTTTGTATGTCATAGTGAAAACAGATGTTTGTGATTCCAAAAGATGCAGCTGCCATAGTGAGCTCTGTTCTGCTCCATCTTGCTTTCCATCCTTATGAGTTAGCACCACTACAAATCCTTCTACTTTTTTTCTTGAACTATTGACCCTCTTTCTAGCTGTTTTATGCAGACTGCCAATTCCTTCCTGTCTAGAATTTGGAGCAATCTGTATGCCATGCCCTTTGCATGCCAAAGAAATAGAGGGAACAAATTGCATCTTGATGATTAAGTGGTATCTCACAACACAGAGGCAAGGTATAAACTTCTAACTATCAATGTCAGGAGATACACTACTGTTAGATGTTAGAATATATAACAGATTGATGACTTCATATTCTGATTCTGGGTTCTAAGATGCAAATGACTGACCACAGAGGCAAAGAAGGGGCTAAACTAGATACATTTTTGATATGATTCAGCTGAGCTCCTCCTAATGATCTGTGAAACTGAGGAATCTAGAAATATAACTCAGAACAGGACCTCACATTGAAGCATGATCTGTTCTTTTATTTCTTCCCTTCACTGCATGACTCTTCAGAGCCCCTTCTAAGCATGATGCTTGAGAGGGGGAATTTCTTAAACATAGATCTCTACTATAAGAAGTTCCCTATTCTTCTAATCCCACTTCTAGAACTTTCTACTTATACAGAAAGGAAGTCTGCTGGGTTCTTACTCGGAATTATGTAATTGTAAATAATGGCAAAGAAAAGGAGGATCTATAGACTCTTCCTACTCTTGAAGGATATAACTAATATAATGGTTTAATTTTTGAAGAACTGCTATAGTATCTACAACATGTAATTTAGGAATCACTTTTTTAAACAATGTGCAGATGAACAGAACAGTTTAGACAGGTCAGCCTATGCACATACATTTTTTTAGTTACTCATGTACTTTAATTCCATGTACCTAGCTGAATTTCCTAAGATTCCTAGACTCTCAATGCAGCACACAGTGTAATATAATATATTGCCAAACACAATAAAATAATGAAATTAGAATGTATTACAAATCAACACATTGGTTAAATCACAAATCACAGATTAATAGCCAGCTTCTATTGGCTAATACTTAAATTGGATAGGATGGTTAGTCACAGATATCTATTCTTCTCCCATTCAGTCAGAAGGGCATTTCCCAACACTTGCATAAAGAACTTAGGCATTATACAATTCCAACATGTGCTTGACTTGTTTATTATGCCATATTTATGCTGTACGCTGTGCAGAATCACTTCTTGTGAGATGAGTAGCCATATAATTTTTATTTATATCTGTGTGTGTGTATGTATGTGTGTGTGTATATATATATATACAGTGGGGCAAAAAAGCATTTAGTCAGCCACCAATTGTGCAAGTTCTCCCACTTA